CAAACAGGAATGCAGTACTTCAAGTCTCTTAAGCTATGTGGAAGCACTCTTTAAATAAAATATAATTAAATTAAAAAAGGTGACTGTGTGTGGGGAATCTTCCTAAGGCACCCAAGAATTTAAAAAGACCTTTTCCCACTCATATTACTTACAGGACGCTCTTGTTTCTCTTCTTTCCAAAGTTAAAAATGTTGGCTGGTTAGGAGTCTTAGTGTACATGATGACATAGTTGAATATCATTAAAAAAACCAGAACAAAAAGAAAACCCTTGGTGAATGTAAAGCACTATGTCCAGACAGCCTAGGTTTCGCTAGCTACGCAAATACATCACGGACAACACGTAGAAATAGTCACGTTAATGCCGAGGTTTCCGTTGTCAGCAAAAAGGTGCGCTATAGCCGTGTCAAAAACTAGGCAGTCGCTGTTCAGAATGGCCGCAGGCACCCCGTCATGGATGGAGCGCGGCGTTGCCTCCCAGGTCAGCCGGCGGCGGTTGCCATTCAGCTCCAGTCTGTATGCAAAGTTCTCCGCTTGCTTACGGGTGCCGATGAGCAGCACGATGGCGAAAAACTGCTGGTGACCTTCGTACTTCTCTTGTTTCTCCAGCACCAGCATGAAGTGGTGACCAAAGCACGACTGCATCATCACCCAGTCAACCGCACCTGGAAGGTTAATGTCTGTGGCAAGAAAAACGATGTCTTCTCCCTGAAGGGTGGTAATGCTTTTGTGGACGTGCATGAGGTGGGACATCACGGCTTCCAAGGATCCCTGCCATTTACAGGAGGCACCCGGGCACGGGCAGGAGTAGGGACGATACTCACAGATCTCTTCATGCTTTGTCTTTTCTGTGTGATGGAGCATCAGAGAGCAGCCTGTCGTGGCGTACTGGAAGAAAAAAACAAATACAAGCCGTCAGGAAAGGCACCAGCACTACTGTTCGCTGCTCCCACCTGTCAACTGGAAACACTGGTGATCAACCAGAACTCTTGTTCTCATTGCACATTTTACATTAGGTACTTCTATTTAGCCCTGGATTCAGAACTGAGCTCTACTTAATTTTGTTTCCACTTAAAAATGGATTCTTCTTGTCTTTTGTGGTTGGGTTTTTTTTTCCCTAATGCAAGAATTCAGATAAAATGGATTGTAAGGCTGAGTTGTAATTAGATCTGATAGGTCCAGATCAGCTGAAGTGGTCCTGGTTTGTATTTTTTTTTCTTTAAAAAGAACAAAGGATTCTAGTTTCAGCAAACAGCTACACACAGTGAATTATTTTTAATAGCTGTACCTTATTACCATCACAGAGAAAAAGTACTTCCATTAAATTCAAATGCAGATTCCCCACAGCTTTTTTTAAACGCTGGAACAGTTTCAACACTGCGGTTGTTGAGAAGTGGAGAGCGAGAGGACAATTTTTCACCGAGCGTAAACCTAGCGCACAAGTGAGTACCATCGAACTTCTCTTAATGTCGTCGGGCATGTTAGATGGTTAATTTGCTTTAAACAACTGGGGGTGCTTTCCCTTTTTCTTATCAGTTCAGTTGTCCACACTGACTACAGTGCTTTCATGCTACCTCCATAGAAAACAGTCTCTCCTATTCTTCCCAAGAGCACAGCTCCCCCAGCCTGCAGGTATCTGTAGTGATACCAACACCACTAACACTATCACGCACTTTACGACACGTGTCTGTGGCTGCTTACAGACACTATGACGCTTCCTTGAAGACAGACATAAACAAGGTATAAATGGTTATTTCTGGGCTAATTATGCGTGCAAGAAGTTTCAGCTCAAAGGGTCAAATGCCCAAGGTGCAAATCACCCATGCTGCAAGCACTAGGAATACTGCGCTAGGAATACCAGGACAGAAACTTGAGCTTGTGCTTCTGGAGGAGCTGGTTTTATAAGCCATAAAGAGTTAACGTGAGCCCTTGCTTACTGTGTCTGCCCCTGCTGCTTAATCCTCTGCTAACGGCTTTATTGCAGGGCGCTGCAGTGGAACGAGGTGTCCTCCTGCCAAAGGCAGAAGCCCCATCACGGCAAACGCGTGGTCTGCCATGCCCGCTGCCCTGCCGTGTAGCGCAGCGACCCAGGTACGCGCACGCTTCCAGCCCCACTGGCCTGCTGGTTTTTCCCACGTTCATACCCCTGTTAACACTTCCATCATGCAGTGTGTTGAAGAGCAGCTCCGAATCTAACCTCATTAACAAAATTAGGAAGGATATACAAGCTGCTGGTTGGGCAAAACCAGATGTCAATGTGAAAGCAACCAGTGGTGACTATAGAAGTGAGAGCGTAAAAACAAGATGAGCAAATAGTGGTGGGTTTGCCCTTCACTGTGAGAAGTACCCGCTTTTGTGTGCTCCCAAACCCATCGCTGCAGGTTTCACTTGGTGAGGAGCCCTACCAATGATGGGAGACTGAACAGCAAAAACTGACTTGCCGTCTTTGTGCTGCTTGGCAAATGTTATTGATCTTTAGCATCCCCCTCAAAAACCCGCATTGCCTCTCCCTGTGTACAGGTTATACGGTATCTTTGAGCTGCTTGGCCTGTGCACCTCTTTCACTTCTACTGCGTCCGCCTTGAGATGGGGAGCCAGGGCTGTGCATGGTGCTAACGGTGCAGGTATGACTCTAATGCCTGGGCTGGCATGACTGTTTTCTGCTTTTTCATTGCCCTTATCATTTCTAGTATTCCATGCTGGAAAGTATTATGTACTTGTTTTCATAGTCATTTGTTCAGCACTCTATTCTCTTTCCTAAGAGGAAACGGTCAGCTCAGAGTTCATCACCATATACATGACTCATCACATACAGCATGCCATTTTTTTGCCAGATATGTCACTCTGTGTGTGCTGCTCTGAACCTCCCTTTGACAGGATAGCTTTCTGAGTGTCCTAAAGCATTCGGAAAACATCAGTTAAGCTTGAAAGTGCTCAGCAGAGACAGGCCGGTATTATCAACCCTGTAAACGAAGGCAGGGACACAGGATTAAAGTAACTTGTCTGAAGCCACATGGGAAATCAGTAGCAGAGCTGCGAATAGACTGCTGAGTCTAAATCCCTCCTGCTCTACCCAGCAGACTCTCCCTCTAGCATACAGGTAGCTTGAGCTACAAATAATGCTGCTGGAAAGAAGAGGCCTGCCTGCTCCTGTGTGTGTGTCAGCAGTGTTCAGGGACCCTCTCGTGCTTCTCCCTCCTCCAGTGCTTTGTAAACCATCTCTCCCTGCTTTTAAGATCCCTCCAGAAGCATTCAGCCAAGCTTGGGCACAGGTGCTCAGCCCAGTCTAGCAGTGACCCATGGCAGCTCCCCCAGGGACGCACGGTGAGGTCCAGCCCAGAAAACGGCGAGCCTCTGTGCCTTCCGGAGCCTCGCACCGGTGAGGAAACCGGCTCGGGCCACAGCCAGCTGCCCAGCAGAGCGCATTTATAAACTCTGCTCTGCCAGCAGTGCTGGGTCTGCTGGTATGGCTCACCTGGGAAAGGACCAGAGAGCATTGTGTCGTTTCATTCAGAGCGGGCGGGCTCTATGCACGTGTGCAGGTAGGGTGACGCAAGCAGACCCCTACGTGTAAGGGATGTCTGTTCAGTTAAAAACAAAATAAACACACGTTTTTATCAGGAAAAACACCCCACCGCTTTCTTAGCGTCTACTATGTCTTGGAAATAGGAAGTGTGACCTTACTTAGGTTTAGTATATTTGCTTAAAATCTTTAAAGTGACAGTTTGTTTTTTTTTTTTAATTAAAGAAAAGCTCTGAAGAGACCGTAGAGACAGCATTGGACAATATAGAGGAGTAAGTTTGTATACAATAACAACATAAATGTGCAATTTCTGTTTGCAAGTTGTTTGCTTACGTGGGAAACCCATCATGCTTTCCCTTGAACTCATGGAGTAGCAGCAGTAGTCTAAGGACATAAGCAGGTCTGCCTACCTCCTACCACCTGTCTAAAGAAAATCAAAGCAAGAGATTAGTCTGGTATTATTTAAGACTTCTCAGTTAATACAGAGTCTCACTATGCCTTCCACTTTTTAAATCCAAAGTGTTGGTTGTGAGGTGCAGAAAGACTTTCAATTTTTTTCTGCAAAGCAAAGCATCAGAGTACAATACAATGAATTTACTGGATTCATTTTTCTTCAAAAGGACCAGAAGCATCTGGAAACTCAGAAACACGGCAGTATCTCCAGTTAGAGGTGGCTGTGTTAAAGGATGCTGGAAGACTCTTCATGCGAGGTATCTGTCCTAGCTTCCCAGATGCAGAGCATCACCACCGCTAGGAAAGCTGGCAAGAATGGGGTTTCAAACCCCTGAAAAATCAAGCCCCATGTACTTAGATTTTTTTTTAACTGTATGCAATAACTAGAAAAGTAATTTCCTTTATTATAAGTAAACCTTACTGTTAGGTTGAGTTAATCACAGCACTGATAATTACTGGTGTACCTACGCAGAAGTTTTGGGGTTGGTGGTTTGGTTGTTTCTTTTTCCCTATTCTACATTGCTAAATGCCATCCGTATAGCTGCCCAACTGGGCTGCTGTCAGTGTGTAAACAAACGCTGGGTTCGCTATTGGATATTTTCCTTAGTGCTGGGCTAGGTTTTGCCTGTGTATGTCGCAGGTAAGCTCTACTGTAAACTGAAACGCAAGCAGGAACTGCCTGCAGTTTTACACAGGGCAGATGAGGAATGCTGGTCCCATGTCATTTCCATGGCCACGCCAAGATCGCTCAAGCATGAACATCGCTGTTTGTCAAGTCCCACCACAAAAGGCTAGCAAAACACGGCAGGGCACAGATCTCGGCTAATAACTCGTGGTTACACAAGGACCGCGGTTCTGCCGGTGACAACAGAGAACACGCACAGCTCTACTTGCCTTCCTGCAGACTTTGGATGACGTGGTGAAATTGAGAAACGCCTCTCCCGCCCTGTGCTGCTCAGTTAGCCAGGTCACAGTTCCAAGTTTAGCAGCTAACGATCACAGTGTATCTCACGCACTGCTGTGAAAATGGATTCTGGTGTCTCCTCATGCAGCTGCAAATTTGTAAGATTTATTTTCTTTCATAGCCAGTATCGGACAGAAACCCCAAAGTTACAGAAGGACCTATACTCAAATTAGGTCAGCTTTATAACTAGATAGTACCTTTATATTATTTTCCATTTGCACTTATTTAAAAGATGAAAGAAAATAACAAATTCCTTTTGGCATTCATTAATTAGGAGTTTGAGTGTATTTATGATGTGCATTTTATCTTCTGCAGATTGCTTAGAGCACTAAAAGGCATTTTATATTTTCAGTAACTTTACTGTGACTTTAAGATTTAAATCCCCCTATTTTTTTTTTTCCAGAAGCCCTGTAAAGTGCAGGGATGCAATAACTGTAATTCTTTCTTAAAGCATTTTAAGAAGAACAACCCTCAAAGCAACCACAGCCACAGGCAACACCAAATCTCTGTTTTCTGTTGGCTCTGTCGTGTCTCAGTCCTATTGATTTCGAGTACCCTCCACAGTTATCTCTAGAAGTGCGGGGACCTCCTCTGGACAGACCGCCATCTCTATTTGCTCCTTCACACTTTTTTGGAGCTCCAATTTCTGCCCCTCGCCGAAAGCTTATGTCACGTTTGCTTAATGCATTGCAAACCACAGGTGAGTCAGGCCAGGGCCAGGCCCTGCCGCGCGGTGGGCTGGTGTGGGGCGGCTCTTGCCGAAACCCCGGTGCTGCTGCAGCACCCGATGGGCACCCACCGCCGAGGGGGACGGTGGGCCCCCTCCCCGCTGGCTGCCGGTGACCTGCGTAAGCACTGACCGAGCATTACAGCCCTGACGCTTCATTGCTGTTTCTGGGCCCAAGAAGTAAGAGTGAAAAAACATTAATGCGTGCTAATTTCACTTTGCAGCTCTTGGGAACAGTGAAAGCAGCAGAGCAGGAATTGCTCATGGCAGAAAAAAAATCCACATAAAAGAGAGGGTGTGCGAGGGAAGAGGAGCAGACGCTTATTGACACCTCTGCCTCTGCAAGGAGCTGCTGGGTGCCCGACGAGCGGGGGACGGATCGCTCGCTCACGGACGCTGGTGCGCGGGGAGGACGCACGCTCCTGCACGGGTCATACCGCAGCGCGATCTGGGACGCGGGGCTCCGAGTGCCGTGTTTTCGGGTCCGCAGGTCCGAGCTAGGCAACTCAGAGGATGCACCTGTGATCACAGCAGCGCAGCGCAGCGCGGGGGAACTCGACATCCTGCCCCTGCACGCATCTGGGGCCAGGGGCTGTTGCCAGCCCCTGCGCTGCCCCAGCTGTCCCCTCCCACGTGCCGTGGCCCAGGGCTCGTGCCTGCGCTAGGATCTCGCCGGGCAGCTGCGAGGTGCGGCACACCGACCGCTGCTGGTTCAGTCTCTTTCCAGCTCTCTCAGCTCCAAACTGGCTTGCAGGCGCTGTACTAAGAAACCAAACCAGGCCCCGAGCCGGCATGAGCCCAGTCCACAGCCTCCTGCTTGCTGCAGCGGCAGCCTCTGACACGCCGACCAGCACAGACCCGCACCTTGGGTTACTGCAGAGACCACCAAAACCACCACTGGGTCAGAGCCAAAACTCTCCCAGTCCCATAACCAAGACCTTGAGCTGCCCGATCCCCGGCACTTGCTTCAGCCATTGCAAACCTCACCGGCGTCCCTCCTTTGCCAAGGCACTGCTTTGAAGAGCACGACATCAACCACAGGAGTAATACTTGGAGGAATTTCTGGAAATGCCATTTTCTTAACTGGTTGACACATGCTAGCTGCCGCCTTATTTATATTTAGAGAATGCCCAACTGCAGAAGTGTTTACAGCTGATACACCTGAACCAGAACTTGCCCGTCAGACGCAGGGATCGCTATTCGGTTCTCCCGGCGTGGGGGCTGTTCTTGGACACACTCCTCTTTGTTGGTGCTTACTCCTCTACCCACAGAGAAAGCGAACCTCAAGGGGTGAAGAAGCCAATCCCGTCAACTAAGGGCTTAAGAAACCTTTCTGTTATCAAGTGAGTAAAGTAATGTCTGACAGGTAAAGTTAGGAACATCTTATCGTCTCCTCTTCACGGGGAAGAGTCTGTAGGCTTTTTCTTCCTTCTCCCACGCTTTGTTTACCCACAGCGCCTGGGGATGAGCAGGCAGGAGTCCTGCCCAGCAGTTTAGCTGCTGGAGAGACTGGCACCCTGCAGGCAGCAGAGCTGCACCTCAGTGCAATGACGGGCTGCGAGGACTCTGGTCTGGGGAGCTGCTCCAGCCCGGAGGCATCCGTTTCGTTTAGGACAAGCAGGGAATACCAGCTGTCACAGACGAGACCGACGAGACACTTTAGAAAATGAGAACTAGGCCAGCGTTTCTGTGAAAAACCCGCACTGGCTGTTTGTATTCCCTTGGGCTCGGAGTGGGTCACAGCTGGGCGTGCGTCTCGCTGCACTTGTTGCTGCGTTCAGCAGAGAGGACCCGTGTCCCGCCACTGCGCTCCATCTGTTACTGCTGCCGAGGTTAGCTCCCGTTCACGGGTGAGCAGTGAAACAGCCCCACGCTCTCAGAAGCTCCGCAAGACGCTGACAGCCATCCCATCCTGCGACCCAGCCAGCCCCCTGAAGCAGACAGGGCTCTCGCCACCATCCACGCTGCGCTGCAGGACTTGACATGGACGATATGGTTGGGAGGTGCCGCTACTCCCTGCGCATCCGTAACGATGCTCCTGTGGGCTAGCCGGGGAAAGCTGCTGCTAGGGTCTGCCTTTTCCGGGCAGAGGTGGCGAGGGCCTGCTCGCGGCTCTCACCGGAAAGCTCGCCATGCACCGCCGGAGCCCGGCAGTGCCCGCTCCGGCTCCCTTGCTCCCACTGCCAGCCTGACCATGGCTCTCCACCTCGCCACGGACAGCGCTGTATTTTAAAACTTTCTTCTCATATTCCACATCAGCGACGGCTCCAGCAGTTCCTGTACCTGTCCCTCCATCACTTCAGCCTGCGGTTTTAAAGTGCTTGTGCTATTACAGAGGTATGAGCGTCGAGGGGTTCCAGGAAGACATAAAAAGGACACACTCAGCGTTGCCTGCGTGTATGTATCTGCCATCCTGGTAAATGTCTATTAGGAAGGACATGCACTTTAGAGCAGTTCACCTAGTTCTTTTAAACAGAAAACTCACTTAAAAAAAAAAAAAGAGACTTAAATGTTTAATCTGAATACTTGAAATAGTGCTGGGACAGACCAGACTTGAAAAAAGAATAATTCAGATGTAATTACTGACCCGACAGCTTACCAGCCCCTGCCCTTCCAAAGGAGGGCTGCAGAGGACTAACGAGAGACACGCACAGAATTTCTTCTACCTCCACTTTTTTTAAGACTGAGCATCAGCATAGGTTAAAATAACTGGGGGTGGGGGGGGGGAATACAAGATCTAGCCTTCGTATCTGCTGATTATGCCAAATACTAGGCTGATACTTAGAGCAGGATTTTCAGTGAATTGGAAAGAATCCTTAGAAGTTTTGCTTTTGAAGGCTGGTGGCACTCCCGTCATCTTATTTTACTTCAGAAACCTGCAGAACCACGGAACAGGCTAATGGAGGCCAGCAAGCGCCTCCTTTTCTGTTCTGCATTTAGGATGGGGAGGAAGTAAAGGCAGGAGGACCATCAGAAGATGAAGACTTTGCAGAGCTACAGCTTTGCTGTCTGCAGTGGCTCTGGATGAATCCCATGCGCTGTTGAGGGAGGAGACTCCTAGGGTGTCTTCAGCGTGGGCATTATTGTAAATAGCAAGAAATCGTCACCTTCTACAAACTGCCAAGCGGACCTGCTGTTGCTTACATTGGATGAAGCTTAGAAGCCTCCTTAAGAGTCTTCTTGTAAGCTGCAATATCAAACTAGCGATAAAGACGAGATGTAAACCCGTCGGGGAGATCCTGCATCGATCTGTTCTCCCCTCCTCGGTCTGCTCAGCGTGCAAATCGCAGGCCAGCGCAGACACGGCCAAACACGACCCTGCACCTACCCCGGCTGGCTCGCTGTGTTTTGACGGCGAACGAGTGGGTTTGTT